AGACCAGTACCCTCCGATCGGGCACCAGCCTCCAGTACCTCCCGTCCCAACACGGCCTTTTCCTTACAACGAGGGAAGGACACGTATATGCTAGTGGGACGTACGAGAAGCCGTTGCACAAATCGGCGGACGATACCATTTCCCCCCAGCAAATCGTTGTTCAGGGTTCGTAGAGGCTGGGTTTGTCATTATCGATACGCACTTCCCACCTTACTCGATATTGTTGCCATTCAACGAGTTGATCGTCATCCCGTGGACGGCAGTAGAACCCCATTGGCCACGCACTCTATGCACCGAATGCCAGCGTTTTGAGCGCTACGAATCCAGGAGTTTTCACTACCGTGTGCGGAGTGAAGACGAGCATAAAGAAAGAGCCACACGGCTGAGACCATCCACGTCAGACTCGAAACTGACCAGCAAACGACGACGAGATTTGATACGAAAACGAGACACGCGAAGCGTGCCAAAGCCTTTCTGTTATAAACGACGGGCTGTAGCCCGGAGGGAAGCCCGTCAATACTTTTTGGATTGAATTTGGATTTTTCTCTTTTCGCACCGTGCTTGCGCGCGCATTCTGCAACGCGCGAAAGCAATGGACTTGCTTGATCGAACCAACACGGGGGATTTCAGTTCCATCTGTGTCCCCACACTCAATTTCCAAAAATCCTTGGCACACCCCATCTTCCTGTTTTTCTGGGCCTCTTTCCGCACGCCTAATACTCCGAACGAAAGACAGCGTAGGGCGTGAGGTTGGTATCGGAGCCGACACGTGTCGGTTCTGATGATAGTAAGTCGAACTGGCGAGAGGTAGGAGAGACCCTCAACTAGCTCGTCGGGATCGCCCAGTGACCAGGTCTCAGTCTGGTGCGGCTGCACCCGCAATACCAATGGTGGACGGTACTAGGGTAATCGTTAGCATCCCCGCCCCCTTCCCTTTCTTCCATAACCATACCCATCCAGAGGCTTGGCTGGAAGCTGTCGAAACCCAAAATTACAGCGCAGCCGATCTTCCCCGCGTTCTGACATTGCTACTCCGCAATACGTCGCATGACTGGTTTAGAAAACATACGTGGGTAGATTGAAATGCTTTTATACAAGCCTTCTTGGCTTGATTTGATACGGTACGTGCTGAAAAATCGCCCCCAAGGACCAGGGGAGTTGTTGCCCGACTTCGTGGATCGATTTCAAACCACGTTGGACAAATCTGGGCGAGACGAGAAATCCGCTCGAGACTTGTTCATCGATCACCTATAAAATCCGACGTTGAAAGGGAAACTGTAGAAAAAGGTCCCGCCTAAGACGCAGCAGGCTACGAGCTACCCGCTATCATTGCTTAAGCATTGGAATTGGACCTGGCTGATACAAAAAAATATATCAGCCAGGGAGACGATGATATTATAGATACCATACGGGATGTAGCGGCAAAAAGGCGGTCGTGGCTGCAGGAGGTAGAACGGTTTTATCCCCGCATCGACCATGACCTTCCCGATGGGGTCGCTTCCGATATCCCGCCTGTCTCTTCTCCCTCTCCCCCTGTGAATCAACCGATAGCGGCAGTTAAAAGCAGAGTCTCCTATGAAACCCCCTCGCCGGCCATAACCAACTTAACATCTTGCCCAGATGATCCATACAGCCACTACTAAGCAGTCCGAATGGATGAGCAACTTGATCCAAATGCAGGACGCTCATATGGAGCGGATGAAACAGATAATGAGCAAACTAATTAAGCCTGCCCCTGCATCGTTTCCGCTCTTGCCTGCCCCGCTTGCACCAGGGTACGCACCTTAGTTCCGTCACCTAGCTAATCCAGCAGGGAAGATTGAGTGTTTTAACTGCAAACAGCCTGGGCATTTTGCCCGAGACTGCTCGCAGCCAAAGCGTAGTCAGCCCCCACCTGCGGCGGCCCCCGTGACCCTGAATCAAGGACGAGTGGCCGCTTTGATGGATACGGCCCAAGGAGGGGAACTCGTAGCATATGGTCCAGAGCAGCCTTCCCCTTCGACGACAATGGCATCGACATTAGGAGCTTCCTCCTATGACGCTACTGACGTGGTCGATCCACTCGAATATCTTCATCTTGCAGGCATGGTCGGAGCGATCCAATCGGCCCATGAGGATCTCGAATTGGTCGATTGCGAATCCAATCGTGGTCCGCAGTTTCGAACAGGAGAGATTGATGTGTTACAAGCGCTCAAACAATTGGATATTCGTGTTCCGATTCCGGTGGGCCATCTGCTCACCATATCTGAACTAGCGAACGATAAACTTTTACAACATTGCCAGAAAAACCAAAAGCGCTTCACCTATCAGCGCGTACAACGGATGTTGAAGAAGAAGGAAGGAAGCGAGGAATTTGCACAGCCCGAACCCGAAGCCGGCGAACCTGAGGCTGCACGAATAGCAGCGATCTCTTTAGCAGAAAAAGATCACTTCGTACGAGCTCGGCCGGTGCTATGGAAGAGCGCAGAATTTGATTGCGAAGTTTGGGGCAAGCCGTTTAACGCCCTTATCGATACGGGGTCTTCTGCGGTAGCCATATCATTAGACACTGTCAGAAAGATAGGACGACTTGGATCCATTCTTCCTCAATCTGGCAAAGACAATTATATCTCCGCCGACGAGGAAGCAATGAATATCGTAGACACTATTGAGAATTTGGTTGTAAAAATCGGACGAGTACACGTCCTTATCAACGCGCTCGTAATAGATGTACATTCCTATTCTGTGTTGTTGGGACTACCTTGGGCAATGGCGGTGGGTGCACGGCTGCATTTCGATTCAAAACAACTGGTACTCACGCAAACAGGGGGAAAGCCTCAAACTGTTCCCTTGCGAATTTCCACCCGAACGATAAAACGAACCCCTAACTCGACCCAAATAGGGATGATTCGACGCATTGATCCCGAGAAGTGCTCTCCCTCATACATCGGTAATGGAATCAGGGAACAGGACTACGAAGAAGAGATGCCCAGTGAAGAAGAATGAAAACACCTGGTCGAACTTTTCGAACGCGAAATTCCCGAAGAATTTCAAGTGTGCCCCGACACTGCCCGAAGTTTCCCCGTGGATTCCGAAGACAGCGCGATCGCGCCTCTGTCAGCTCAGGTCACTCCTTCAGTCCTTCTCGAGGAACCCATATTACAAGTATCCGACCTGGCTGATCATTTGGAACACCCTCGTACCTTGCATGAGGGAGCACTTTCCTTACAAACACGTAATCAACAAACGAAACAGTATTTGGATGTTTCTGTTTTTTTGCCCAGATCGTTACTAACGATGGGGGCGATCATCGCCTTGATTAAACAGAAAGCAGAAGCACCGGTACATGATGTGCCTGATCTAATGCAATGAATGACGGACCTAACAGGACTGACTGTGGAGCAAATTTCGACCGACTCAGAAACTGACGCCGAAGTTAAAGAAACCGAAATGATCAGCCCAGCCGAATCACAGATGATTGCGACTATCTTCTCCGTTCGCACCAGTAGTTCCGTCTTTTCGAGTGTCTACGATCAACGAAGGAGACTGGTTGATTGGATCGACATACCCCTTCAGATTTCTGGGGGATCGACGATCGCCCTGCCGAAACACGTTCCCACAGAATTGCAAAATTTCTTAATCAATGTTTTGAACGGTTATGCCGAGGTGCTAAGCGTGCATGATAATGATATCAACTTAACTAATGTGATCGAGCATGCCATTCTCACGGGAGACCACCCACCCATTAGCTGCGTTCCTTACCGATACTCGCCAACTCAACGAGCGGCTGCCTTTCAGCGGATTAACGAATTCGAAGCTAATGGATGGATCGAACCCGCAATTGGTCCCTGGTCTTTTCCCATAGTAATCATGCCTAAAAAGGCCGGAAGGATTCGCATTTGCATTGATTATCAGAAGTTGAATGATATCACGATCAAAGATGTGTACCCTCTCCTTCGGATTGACGAGTTGTTGGATGCGATTGGGAGTGCTCGATTTTTCAGCAAGTTTGATGTTCGTCATGGGTTCCATCATCTTCTTGTTCGAGAAGGATCGTCAAAAAACGGTGTTTGTGCTTTTCGAGGGTATATGGCTGTGGATTCGATGTCTGATGGGTATCTGCAATGCCCCCACGACCTTCCAGCGAGCCATGAACATGGTTTTTCAGAACTTTGTGAGGAAGACTCGTTTGGCACAGAGCATCATCAACTTCTGCTTGATTGTGTACATGGATGACATCTTGGTGTATTCGAGTTCCTACGAGGGACACGTGCAGCACATCAAATGGGCTCTGCATGCGTTGCGAGATGCGGGCTTCAAGGTGGAGCTTGAGAAGTGTCAGTTTTTCCTCACCACCATTTCCTTCCTAGGGGACGTGGTGACGGACAAAGGACTCCAACCGGAGCCGTAGAAGGTGGCAGCTATCAGAGATGCCCCGGTGCCTACGACTATCACACAAGTTCGTGCTTTTCTGGGCCTCGCCTCATGCTACGGAAGATTTATCAAGGGCTTCGCAGCAATTGCGGGACCCCTCACAAACCTGTTGCGCAAAGATCAGCCGTTGATGTGGACACTGAAGTGCGATCAAGCGTTTTCCAAACTCAAGGTCACTCTCATTTCGGCTCCGGTCCTTATAAGACCGGATCCCGAAAAGCCTTTTGTTCTCATCACTGACTGGCGGCCAGAAGCAATTTCAACGATCCTTGCCCAAGTGGGACCAAGCGGATTTGAGAGTGTGGTGGAGTATGCATCCAAATCGTTGCCTGCATGCAAGCGCAACTACGCCGCTCCAACTGGAGCTCCAACTGGAGAATGCTACGCAGCTCTCAGGGGAATCAGTCACTTTCGCGCTTACTTGTACGGGGGAAAGTTCACCCTGGTAACTGATCATGAGCCCCTGTTGGCTCTGAAGAAATCGAAGGATTACTCGGGCATGATCGGGCGATGGGCAACGGTGTTGCAGAGCATGGACTTTGACATTCGTCCTCAAAAGCACGAGAGACACGGGAATGCAGACGGACTGACACGACTGCACCGGCCTGAGAAAGTTTCGAAGAATGAGGAGGTGATTCCGTGGAACGAACCCGAACAGGAGATTGAACCTCGGTACGGCCAGGTGGAGATCTTGTCGAAGCAGTAAGTGACACGAGGATTAATTTGTCTGTTCTATTCTCTCCACAATTCAGTCCCATCTCTCCGGGACCCCCCCTGTCATCATGACTACCCCGCCTGCCTCCGCAACCCCTTCATCTCCGACTAATTCTGCCCCTCGCACGTCCTCAGCTTTCTGTGCCACCCTCCCCAATAAATTATGTTATTTTTGCACGTGCATTGCACGGGTTTATGGGGTCGACTGTCATCCTTTCGAAACCGGGTTTGTCGACTGGGTAGAATGTGCCACGTGTGTCAATCGTGCGCACGGGGCCTGCGTTCGATATCGGACGAATAGAAAGGAATGGAAGTGCCCCCTGTGTAGAACGAACAAACTCCCCACGGAGGTCCGATTCGAGACCGCTCGTACGGACGGCCCTGAATACGATGAAAAATACCGACAAGCGGAGGTTTTGACGGATAAAATTTTATTGGCAAAATTAGCAGGATTATCATTGGGTCACCTCACCAAACACGACAGACGCAGGGCGACCGAGAGATCTCGGAACTATCGATGGATCAACGGTCATTTGAAAAAGCGTAAAACGGACGGATCGGGTTCGTGGCTGATGGTTCCACATCCATTCCAGAGATATGATTGGATCCGATCTGCTCACAAAGAACAGGCCGCTCATTTCGCGATACGTGTCACGGAGGCAACTGTAGACCAGAACCGATGGTTCTGGTCCAATATACGAGATGATGTCAAATACATTGTCGCTAACTGTTTGGTCTATGCCGCTGATCGCGCCCCTATGCGGGGACCAAACACGATCGTACCAACGGAGTGCGGGGACCAAACACGATCGTACCAACGGAGGTAGAGCGTCCTTTCCAACGAGTCAGTATGGACACGACAGATATTGACGTGCCACCTGGCCTAAGCCGCTGTGAATATTTTATCCTGTTAGTATTAATAGACCATTTCTCCAAGTACATCGAAGTCTATCCCTGTAAGACCCGAAAAGCCGCAGAAATAGCCACGTGCAACGAGCGGTTCCTCTATACCCATCTAGATACGGAAGAAATTCTAATCGACTATGGGTTTGAATTCAAAGGTGAGGTAGAAGAACTGCTTGCGCGAAGGGGCATCACGCTCTGAAATACGGCACCCCACGTGTCCCAGTCGAACGGGTTGGCCGAAAATGCCAACCATATGATCAAAACCGCCCTTCGCAGGAACTTAGCGGCACACGACACGCGTCCGTGGCCCGAGATCGTATATAAGATCGTCGGGATCCACCGGGCCACTCCTCACGAGTCCACTGGGTTTACCCCTTTTCAGCTTCGAACTAATAGCCTCCCCTGTGTCGATTACCGGGGTAACTCGGAAATTGCTGAAGCAAGGGGTAGAGACACACGTACAGCCCTCAAGGCCAAAGCCAAAAGGTACACTGAATTAATGGAACGGGCCGTCCCTAAGCTAGCCCGAAAAAGGCTAAGGATGACCGAACTGGCCCACGGTAGACAGGTCCGTAGCTACGAGGCTCGGAATGGAAATGTTGGGCCCCAGCATTAATATAAATTAGGGGGCCTAGTGCAAGTACGTAAATGTGCACGCGACCGGAAACTCGCTCCCAAGTTTTCTGGTTGTTTTCGTGTTGTCGAGCTCGGACCCAACGGCGCCAACACGGTGCGCATCGCGCCTTAGGCTAGTGCCAGCCATAGCTCTGTACCCATCGTTCGGCATACCTCCTACCTCCGTCTTCTTCCTCCTTCTTCCTCGGAAAGCGAGGAAAACGACAACGATCTAACTCTCTCCCCTCTTTCTCCCTCTTGTCCTTCGTCCTCCTCTCCGACCTCGCCATGAGTTTCATCACGGAGCGGGCTCTTGACGTACAACTGTTGCAGCCACGTGGCCACATCTCAGAGATTCGGCAAGTCTATCACCCTCGCCTCAATACGGATCTTCGGCGTTTAGCGCAATTTTTCTGCGACGTGGGTATCTGTGCCGCCGCCGCGTTTCGAATCGAAGGGAGTCCTCACGCAGTAGTATTTGCGGAGGTAATCGCATTTTATCGGCGAGCGGCTCCCTGAACGAGCTACGTCACCACGGTCGTGGCGTCCAGCGACGACATCAGCTCGGTCAATCCGCAAAGGCATATCGCGATCTTGACTTCACTGCGCGAGTGGATGGAGCAGGTGTCCAACGTGTGGCAGCACGTTCTCGCCCGACCTGGGCACAATCTCATCCCGACCTTTGCGCCGGATATTGGCGACATACGTCGTTCTCCGCGCGAGCGGCCAGTTGTGATTCCCACCCTCGTCCCCTTCCCACGTCCTCAATGAACCACGTCGATCCTCTCGCCCCTCTCTCTATCTTCGGTCTCCCCTCTCTTTTCCCCACCTTCTGGCAATCTGATCTTCATCCTTCTCTGTCTTTCTCGTTCGAGCCTTTTTCTGTCCCGCTTATCAATCCTGGGCATTGGCGGCTGTGGCACGAAACGTTTAATGAGTTGTCCTTCTGCTTGGCCCGAGTACGGGTAACGTGGATGCGGACCAGCGAGCATCCTGCGTGGATCGAGAGTGTGGAACTGCTGATCATACAGGCTTGGAGGACTAACGTGGAGGGCAACCTTCTTGGCTTTCTCTTTGGATCGGTACAGCTGGGCCGCCGCCAGTTGATTGCGCAGGAGCTCCTCGCGCCGATCATGCAATTAGCAGACGATCTCTCGCCCGACATTTATTCGCAGAGTGACGACAGTTCAGCTCCGCACGTTCTCGAGCGGTCATTGGATCCGTACCTCCAGTGGACTGCGTGCTTGGAGGAGCCCAGGGACCAAGATACGCTGCCATCGCGGCAGGGGTATTTGAAGCCGTACGATATCATCCCTCATGCCTTTTATCCGAGGGTGGAAGAAGTAGTGATCGACGACGACGAAGAAGAAGACGAAAACGAGGAAACATCGGAGGAGGGAAGCTATAACGAATATAGCGAGGGCGAGCTGAGTGAAGAAGAAGAGGAGGAAGAAGAAATTGGATCCGAGTGGGAAGCCTTGCCGGAAGAAGCGGCGCGTACAGGAACGGAGGCGGAAGATCCGGAAGCAGCGCGAAAGCGCGAAGAAATCGCCACCGGGAAGCGCCAGTTGGAGTTCGCCAGCGGAGCCATCCTGCGCATCGATAACGATCCGATCAGAGATCCGGAGCCGCCAAAGCCCGAAGATGGCGACCCTGCAGCCGCCACCTCAAGTACCATGTGACGGAGACGGAGCCGATCCCCCGCCTCCTCCAGCCCCACCCGTGCCCCAGTTCGTCCACGTACCGATGCGGGTGATAGGCCTTCGTCCTCGCATGCTATCCCGAGGACCCCTTGACTTCCTCACCCTCGAGCAGATCCGCACCCCCGTCACCTTCCCTCCCCATCCCTTCCTTCCTCAACTCTTCCGCGACTTCTACTCTACCCGCCTACTCGCCACTGTCTACCCCCACGCATCCCTTCAGCCTGCTGCCCCCACGTTCTGCTGGCATATTCTCTTGTTCAGCGCTGCAAGGGAGCGATGCAACGTGGTAGAAGTTTACTGCGTCGCCACGGGGACAATCCCCGCTTGCTTCCACTTCGAGATCTTTCGAGTGGCGCTTTTCCGCACCCTCTTCTCCTTCTATCGCGACTACCTCGCTTCCCTCCCCCGCAACGGCGATCATTTCCCCCRCTTCCACCGGATCATCCGATATGAGGAGCTCCCGGTGACGATGGAAGGGATCAATCGTTACCTACCCCCACTCCCTCCCCGTCGCCCCCGAGAGATCCCCTCCATGTAACGCCTCTATTGGCCTATCCCAACTAGGAGGTAGATCCTGATCACGTCACTATTCCCCCTTACCTCTCCTCTCTCCATCTAATCAGCAAGGGAAAACGGCACGAATCAGTAAGCCTCGCGAAGATCACGCCATCGACGATGACGTCAACTCATGCTATGATTCGACGGGTGGCGACAAACTGGGGTGCAGAGCACACGGAGAACCGGCGGACGATGATGGCATCACCTGGATGACCATCGAATAGTCCAGCAGCACGAACCAACAGAAGGTTGCAATTGAAGTTGGCTTCAACATGGACTCCGGCCGGATCATTTGTTGATGCGCTTGGTTCCTCATGCATCACTCTATGCTCTCCCTCTCTCTCTCCTTCTCCGCCATGACATGCAATCAGCAGATTGCTTAATTTTGGAACCCCCTGCTCGTCACATATGTGACGAACCACCTCCCGAACCCGTGCTATCTTTCGTACCCTTTTTGCTTGTATCATACTAACCCCATAAAAAAAAAAACCGTTTCGTTTTCTTGATTTTGGGTACCACATTTTTTGCCCCCATCTTTCGGAAGCTTTTTCGACTCCCGGGTTCTGCTTTTCCTTTCTGCAATTCGGGAAATACATAGGAAATTACATGCGCCTTAGCGAGCGCACTGGGAATTGGGCTCGACAGTTAGGAAATTCCAGGATAAGCGGAACTTCGACGTGTCCTTTTCGAGTGTGTGAATGTTCTTGGTCGCGTCGGGAAAAACTCTCGGAATATTAAGTGAATACGAATAGGCGTAGGATTTTTCTTTTCCCGCGTCGCTTTTTCGCTCGCCGATATGGTGATTTCAATTTTGAATTGGTTTAGCACAGAGGCAAGCTGTAACGGTTTCGATGCCTTTTTCTCTCTTTTTTGTTGACGGCGCCACGCATGCAAGAACTTTTCTCCTCTTTGTCCCCCGCATCGCTCCCTCCTGCGCTCCCTTCCCCTTCTCCCTCCTCTTTCTCTCTCCCCGTAACAGTTTCCTTTCTCTCTCCCTCTCTCCCGCTCTGCTTTTTACGCGCCCATTTCCCTTTCTTGATCATATGAATCTTAGACCTGTCTTGCGCTACTTTTCGCGCCTTTTCTCTTCTCACCCTCCGAGTCCAACACACGACGCTCGGTCGATCCATCGATAACTCCCGCTCACCAATCAGGTGCGTGGATCAATAGGATCATCCTATCGCGCGACGAATCTGATTGGTTGAACCTTGAGTTCCGAGAAATCAACATGGCGTTCACAGAGCACTCTTCTCAAAGTCTTCTCCTCCTGCTTCTCCTCTTACACCTCAACTTTCCCGTCGCCTTCTCCCTTGTTTGTCTCCTTGGTCGCAACTATAAAACCCGCAAGCGCGTCCGCAAAGCTCTCTTACGTTCTCGACTCCTAAGCCAACTTCCGGGAAGCAGTGGCTAGGCAGAGTGTTTTAATGCGAGTCGAAAAGTCCTGTCGGGCTGACGATAGGCTGGCCGATTGCGCGCTGGATCGCCACGACGGACTGTGGGATCTGGGCGAACCGTGTCGAGTTTACAACAGCGGGGTGACGATCGCAGTGGTGGGAGTTAGCACGCGACGGGCGGGATCGTCGGTGTGGGTATGAGGATCGATGATTGGAGTTGAGTGAGTAATCGGTTCGAGGCCATATTGGAATTAACGGCGAATGCGCCTTTGTTGTTGCGGATCTTTATCTTTGGCGTGAGTGTAAGGCGGCCATGCCGAACGTCTCTCTTCCTGTCTCGACTCTCCTCCTTCATCTCCCCCTCTCTCTTTTACCTTTGAATAATGATGTGTCTCGATGTTTGTCTCTCCTTTTCTCTTCTGGATGAGAATGAACCTGTGCGCTTTCCTTGCGTGAAAAAACTTCTTCTGGAACTCTTCCATTAGTTTCTTGGGTAATCCTCCTTCGCAAGGACCTCGTCTTCTTGTCTTGTGAATGGTGGATGCGTGTGTATTGTGCAAGCGATCCATCTTTTCCTATGCATTGCTCATTTTTCGCACCTTCCACAATAAATGTATGTATGTGTGGCTTTTTGCATTGATTAAACTATTGTCGTCGGGATTTTGTTCGAGAATGCAAGAGTAATTAGATCTGTAGCTCTAAATGAACTGCGCATGCCATCTGCCTTATGCTGCACAACATCAGCAGCTGAGCTACGGGGCGGCTTCGAGAAACAAGGCGTCCGGGATCAACGTCGCGCTGGCTCACTAAACCTTAGTCGCGGATCGGTCCCTCAGTAATATGCCTGATCCCGCTGCTAAAGTATCTTCTCTCTCTCTCTCTCTCTCTCTCTCTCTCTCTCTCTCTCTCTCTCTCTCTCTCTCTCTCTCTCTCTCTCTCTCTCTCTCTTTCTCTCGTGTTGAAAGGGATTGATTGTAAGTGCGCGAGTGTTTTCTTTTCTTGATGACGTCTCAAGGTCGTTACAATTGATTGATATGCGGACTGACACGGCCTTTTCCCTACAACGAGGCCTTTTCCCTACAACGAGGGAAGGACACGTGTATGCGAGTGGGACGTACGAGAAGTCGTTGCACAAATCGGCGGACGATACCATTTTCCCCCGGCAAATCGTTGTTTAGGGTTCGTAGAGGCTGGGTTTGTCATGATCGATACGCACTTCCCACCTTACTCGATATTGTTGCCATTCAACGAGTTGATCGTCATCCCGTGGACGACAGTAGATCCCCACTGGCCGCGCACTCTATGCACCGAATGCCAGCGTTTTGAGCGCTACGAATCCAGGGGTTTCAACTACCGTGTGCGGAGTGAAAACGAGCATAAAGAAAGAGTCACGCGGCTGAGACCATCCACGCCAGACTCGAAACTGACCAGCGAACGACGACGAGATTTGATACGAAAACGAGACACGTGAAGCGTGCCAAAGCCTTTCCGTTCTAAACGACGGGCTATAGCCCGGTGGGAAGCCTGGCAATACTTTTCGGATTGAATTTGGATTTTTCTCTTTTCCGGCCGTGCCTGCGCGCGCATTCCGCGACGGGCGGAAGCAATCGACTTGCTTCATCGGACCAACACGGGGGATTTCAGTTCCATCTTTGTCCCCACACTCAATTTCCAAAAATCCTTGGCACACCCCATCTTGTTGTTTGTCTGGGCCTCTTTCCGCACGCCTCATACTCCGAACGAAAGACAGCGCAGGGTGTGAGGTTGCGCGTCACATACCTTCGGCCTCCAAATTTCTTTTTGCGTTCCTCGTCGACATCCTGAGAATTGCGGATCCTCGGGCTCCAAGTGACCTCGCGAGGTCCTTTGGAGGACGATTTGGCTGGAAAATACTCCGAGTGTTTTCACATTTTCATTTCGAATTTCATCTCCAAGGACAAGTGTAACGACGACGAAGTCCTTGGAGTCTCGTCCCCGAGGAGTGTCTAACGACGTCCAAACTAGGGCTCGAGGTGGCTGTCAATTGATAGGATCTTAACCTGCGCCTGCTGTTGATTGTCATTCATTCGATCGTCCAGCGGATCTGCTTCGAGTGACCATGTGCACAAGCGCTTGCTCCCCCAGATTGTGATCAATCTAGTGGAAATGCTACACGTGTCCTGCTTGGGAAGCAACACATGTCGGCTCCGATGCCAAACCCACACCCTACCCGACTTCCTGGTCGGAGTGCGAGTAGGCCCGAAAGTGAGATTCAAGCCTTTTAAGGGTCTTACAAAAATTTTAGGAAGTTCCATGAGGGTTGGAGTACCAGGTCGGAATTGAGATCTTTTATTCCGAGTGTCACTAGGCTGTACTCGGGAATTCAGTCCACTAAATTAAATCAAAGTTTACAAAACACACAAGGGCAATCAAGCAATCACCTTCTTATCAGACTGTGGACACTTTATCTTAATGCACTCATCCGAAAGCATCACTACCTCCACTTTCCACAACCAAATGGTTATGGCACGTACGCGGGGTCCCATTGGGCCTCCATGTCTCCCTTGCGGAGTTCGCCGCGTGGAGTCCGAGGAAAACGCCCTCTATCGAGTGTGCCTTGCCTGACAATCCTCGTCGTTGAGGACCTTGTACACGAATGCGTGTTACCCGTACAGTTCTTCGCAGTAACACTCGAAACATGAAACATGCAACCATTGAGGGACGATGACGAACCAGGGGATGACTGTGAGTTCATGAAAGGGGAGAAAAAGGGAGCAACGTGAAAAATCCATTTCAATGATAGCCGGCGAAAGACCCTATCAACCTATCAGGGGATCAATAAGGGCAGTCTATTTGGGAAATCGCCTCTCAGATGTCTAACTCGTAGACCCGTTGTATCGGCTCGTAATAGGGGAATTGGGGCAAGTCGTCCCTGGACGAATGAAAGTCAGGTGGATGAATCAACCGGAATCGTCTGGAAAAATCCATAATTGCAAATACACCCAAGCCCCATGCGGCCCAAAATGCAATCAAGAAATCATTGGCTCCAATATGTGTCATGCATGATTGAAATTACAACCAAAAAGTTGACAGATTAACCGATTCAAA